GCATGTCAATGATCATTAGACCTATGATACCTAACACATGGTATTCAGTTTTATAGCAACAAGCTTTAGACCTTTGGAATATACAAATAAAACTAATTAAAGAGAGGGTTACTTGTACTTGTTTTTTTGCACTAGCACTTGATAGATTGAAGCTAGGCTACAATTGCTCCTGTTGCTCTGAGACGCCTGACAGTCCCTCAGTATTTGGGGTTAGAATAACCATGAACACCGAAACAAGAAGGAACAACTAAAAAAACAGTGGGGAAAAAGTGAGAAATCTCAGGGAGCAATCTTTATCCATTTCACAGACCAAGTTACAGGTGCTTTTGGAGTTCAAATACTCGTTTGTTTGTGAGGCTGATGAAAACACAGAGGTACACATGCATAACTCTCAATGACGCTCCGGTGGGTCGATAGCATATAAAGAACTCAAACATGCATGAATCGTACTGAAATCATCTTTGTGTGTGAATAATGTCAAAGGAAAACAATTATAATGTGACAAAAAGCTGATAAAAGGCTGTTTTTTGAGTAAGGAATTCCCCTTGTAGGTCCACACAGTTTATTTAAGTCTAAACTAAAGACTTCTCCCTGAAAAATTGGAATTACAGAAGTACAAAGTAAACCAAATAAAATCCCTGTTTGTTAGTTCGTTGCCACTTCCCTGCGCACTTGTTTTGTTCACACATCGATATCCTTCCTGGTTTGGTTTGGAGCCGTCATATGTTTATTGGAGCGACTGGTACAGCTCAGGAGCAGCAGTCACACCTGTGGGCGTGCGAGAGGCTGTTTGGAGGAGGAGAGACAGTGTTGGGGAAACAGGATACAGGAGTTTCTTCAGCCCCTCGATGACGCACTCAAGGACCCTGGTGAGGCGGCCACTTCCACACACACACACACACACACACACACACACACACACACACACATTTCTTTATTTCCCGGGGGCCACTGAAAGTCGGCCATTTTGGTTGGGCAGCTTGTTTGTTTGGAGGAGTTGAGGAAAATTCCCATGTGGCTTTGGCCGTGTTGCAGTGTTCTTGTCAGTCATTTCATAAACAGGGACCAAGGGGATGATGGTATTAGAGAAGTGTTTGTAAATTAACGGAATACATGTGTTTATTTAAGTCTTCTGAAAGTCTTCTGTTGTGGGACTGTAAGGTGGACTCAACACAAGGACTGAACAATGCTCGTGGAAAATGTATCCATGACCTCAGTGTTAGTGCACTAGTCATACCTGATGTTGTGTCTTTCTTCTTCCATATATTACATACTATTCATTTGCCTAGAATATCTAACTCTATGAAATTAAATGTATATACAAACAGTATATATCTTGTATTTATTTATTTTCAGTTCCTAGTGTGTTTTCACCTCATATTTTTTGTAGTCAGCAGGATTTAATTGTTGAAGTACGTTTTATTACAGATATGGTGTAAGTTCTATTTCTTTGATTCTATTTTATTGTATCAAAAAATGTGCTTTTAATTCTGGCAATTCAAATTGGGCTCACACAGACATTAAGTTTTCTATCCGTGCATTACTGGTTGGATTAGTTTAACTAAAAACATGAATACATGTTTTTTACTTTGTCTAGTTTTGTTTACTTTTCTTCAGTCTACAACATTTTTCACCTGCTCGTCTCAGAAAACAGTTCTGCTCATCATAAAATGTAGGAATATCTATTTTGTAATGTTTTATGTCATCCCTGTTATATTGCAGAGATGTGAGAAGTGATTCAGTGCATGTTTCTGCTGCATCAGGCCGTGATGGATCTGACCTTGTCTATAGACACCTTTATTTTGCTGCCATGTGAAAAGCACAAACCAGACAACACACCAGCAACTCTATGATAAATTACGCAAAAATAAATTAATTGTCAGAAGACAGTCTCATTTCCACGCTTTTATTTTGTTTTTGGAATGAATTTGTGTCTTTAATTAGTTTGTGATTTGAAACCACTTAACTACCAATAATCCATTATACACAAGAGCGGTGTCAATGGAAAACAGATAATGTCACATTTGTAATTGTTTTATATAATATAGATCAACTTCAAGGCTACTGTGGACTCACCACCTGCAATAGGATCAGTGAGGGGCTGGTGCTCTGTGTACTGGGTGCAGCTCTGACTGCCACCCCCGACCCAGAAATGGATTAAGGGGAAGAAAATGGATGGATCAACTCGAAGATTGTATGTTCAGTCACTCCATACATTGTGTCAATGAGATGATGGAGCAAGATTGAGTAATGAGTGGGCATAGTGCCATCTGCATGTGAAAGTCAGAGCTTGTCAGACCTCTGAAGTTAAGCAGGGCCGGGCCTGGTTTGTACTGTGATGGGAGACCTCTCAAAGTGTTGCTGTAGCCTTAACCCTTAACCCACATTACTTAGAATATGTCTGGTTTGTGCTTGAATGGCTAGTGGTGGTCGAAGGTGTCGATGGCACATAAAACTAAAACATAAATATCCAACTAATGAGGGTTAAACCCTCTACAGATCTTGCGACACAGTTATTCCTCCGAGTGAACACGCGTAAACTGGCAATATGATACTTTTGTTTATTCCTGCATGGGCTCTTTAGTTGCAGAAAAGAAGCTTTCCTTCCTTGTCGTAACTCGATGCTATAAGAAACTGCACCTGCTCTTTGTTGAACCAGCTTCAGGTTTGTCATTGGTGAAACTGCTAATATTTGGATTCCAAGGAAAATATTATTGTCTTGCTACATGCTCTGTCAAATGTCAAACATTGTTGTTTGGCTTAGTTCTCATACTATATTATATTAGAAAACAACCATAAAGTGTAATGTGTCGTATGGTTTCAGCTGAAAGGGAAAGTAAAGATTCTTATTCATTGACAATGCTCGGACCAGCATCAATTTGCATTAGTATCATGCATTGCACATTTAACTACAGTATAATAGTACTCCATCAATATTTTTTTTATCCATCAAAACTTTTTAAAAAGGTTGTGGATGGAATATCACCAAAACAACTTCACTTTTTTCCCCCACACATTTATCTTTTGAAAACATATACTGCTGCACATAGCAAAGTCAAGGATGAGGTTATGAAATGAAATTCAATAAAAAAATGTCTTGGTGTGATAAATAAGTATTATGTAAGAGTCGGAGACAGGATCTACATCAAAAAAGAGAAAGACAGCTAGGGATATGTGGAGCATCGACTTAATTGTATTATGCCTGCATTTGCTCAGTGGGTCACTCAAGTAAACAGAGTGGAGCAGAGAACAGGTGGTCCGAGATGGAAACACTGCTCTCCGGATCAATACAGTGTATGTTCTGAGAAAGTCACTGCGCTCGCCTTGTACACAGCGCTAGTACTCGAGAGAAAAGAAAACTGTGAACTGTAAGATGCACATCAAGAAGGTTATTTTCAAATCGTTCAGGTACCACAGATGGTCCTAATCCTGATTGGAGAGGCCTAGTATTGTTGATTGCCTATTGCTAAATTCCCATTATCCATTATTAGTTTTGTATTGGTACTAAAGCCACTGTCTGTACATGTTTAACCACTAGGGACAAATAGTTGACTTATATAATCAATTGTGACTAAAAAGACGGTGGTCATTATATTTGTTAACTCAACTGTACTTATTGAAGTCTCCTGGGAATGTTCTCGTGTTGACCGTCTCTGGAACATACAACCCGGTCTAAGTGCTGCACCGAATCAAGTTATCACATCCTGTAATGAACTTTTAGTCAATACTGGTTTAGATGTTATTCCTATATTGTTATTTTGATGATTCAGCCTTTCCAGTGTTTCGTTCAGGTACTTTTTGGTCTGCGGCCCTTGAGTTCTAGTGTTATTTAGGATTGTGTTAGGCCTAATACAATCTTGCACCTGTTACCTCTGCTTCTTCAGACTTTGTGTTTTTTCTAATGCATTAAATTTATATTGTAGAATAACTATTTCTCCCCTATCCATTCTGCCTGTGTGTATTATGCAATAACCAAGAAGGGTTTATGAGTGCAGCAGTAGGATTAGAAAATTAACATGGGAAATAGAGATGATTACACCCTGTTTGCAAACATAATGTCGCAAAATATGTTTCTATCCTAAACAAGGGTGCAATTTATTCTAATTATTATTTTGTTTGGCTTAATCTCTTTTCTCATTGCTACATTTCAATTGTCTTTGTCCTTGGCAACAGCACAGGCAGAAAATTCTCTGAAAAAAACCTGCTAGAATCGAAATTTCACACTTGACAATGTACGAGTGAGCGAGAAACACAAGGTGTTTGGCACACAAGCAGTCAAATCATAAAATCTGGATAGAACAAGGTCAGTGAGATTAATATAAAATCATTAACCAGGTAGAAACAAGGGCAGAGGAGAGGGAGAGAGGGACTTGTAGTGGCCGAGTCAAAGCAGGCTCTGGAGATGAGGGCAGGGCTTATTGGGAAGCTTTGGCCAATTGAAAGCAGAGTGGGTGCGGTTTGGCAATAAAGAAGGAGTGTGCAGAGCAGAGCAGGCACAGACATAGCAGCAGCATGTTAAGAGGAGCTGGAGATGAGGATGTAGTCAGTGGAAAGGGATGCATTGGTACAGCGTGAGCGTGGATGTTCACTGTTTTGTGCTTTTAGCTCTGTCTTTATGCCATTATGTGCTTTGGAGCGTTGACAGTCACATTGATTCCACAGGCCGGCAATGCAGATAGTTCACCTTGAGATACAGCTGATATATTTCCACCCTGGACTTTTGGATTACAACAAAGAAAAGAAGAGATACCGACAAAGTGGACTCAAGTGTCTGGATTGCTTGTTTGGGAGCAGATTGAGGCGTTGAAGTTTTAAACTGACCACAGTATTTCCACTGTGGTGAATCCAAAGTCATCCTGGAAGCCAGCAAAGCTCCCCCGGGTAGCGGACAGGTGCTGCAGCCCAGGATCAGTCCCAGTCCAAGCAGCAGCAGCAGTGTTTGTCCGAAACTATCCCCCACAGCAGAGACACCAGTCCCAGAGCCCAAGGAGCAGAGGAGCATGTCTCAAGCCGGGAGGAAGTTCCACAACAAAAAGGCTGGGATTCGAGCTGCCGTCATCCTGATTGGACTGCTGCACAAGTCCAGAAAAGCCAAGGAGAAGGAAAGAGAAGAGACTGAAGGGTGGGTAAGGCTGTGTCTGTGCAGAGATGGACGTTCATAGTTTGTCATTGTTCGTATGGTTACAAGCAGTCTGCAGTTTGCTTTGAGGTCGGAATAGAATAGTTAATAAGAAAAATTGATTATAAGGCAGCATTTATTGAAACAACTTCACGAGTCTTGCAGCAGAGACACCTGTGGTATCTGGTGATCTTTGTTTCCGCAGCATTCATTTGGAATGGACAAAAAGTTGGGGAAATGATCATATTGTACATTTTATTGTCAAATGTTGCAAAGAATTTATCACTCCACTCCTCCCCATTAGTACAAAATATTCAAAGAGTTTCTGATCACTGCTCTTGAATATGGAATGTCTTTTTGCTGCGATTTTTTGTGAGAGAGATTTTTTATGATCTGCTGTATCGAAGAAGAGCAGACAACAAAATATATGGTAGATGGATTCCCACTCCATTCAGAAGTGCCATTATGTCCTTTGGCAAGACATTTCACTCGCCCCTGAGTGGAAAAGTCCAGTTTTTACCCTAAACCTAACCACACACGTTCACGTCTATGCATTTTAACTACTCAAAATGAATTTTTCTAAAGCACTACTTGAACTTGACCTATGGCTTTGATATTAATGTTGTCGCTCACCTGTCAGCTCAAGCATCTAGCTGCCTTTTCCTTTCAGTGTTCATATGTTTTAAAATATTGGTTGAGGTAAGAAACATGTTGATAAAGTATATCATGTACTGTATATGAATATGGGAGATCAAACACCAACTTTCATAGGATCCTTGTTGATTTTATTTCTTTCCATTTAGTCTTGAGATCATCTTATATGTTACTAAAGTTATATATTTATTACGATAAATGTACCCCATGATGGGGCAGCTGATATCATCAAGTAAGCAACAGTCCAGGATCAATGTCAAAGTTGTTATTTGCCAAGGATCAATCTTTTATGGAGTTAGGGTAGGGGGTTAGGGTTAGGGTTGAGATTAGGGCAAGGATTCACTAAAGCTAGGGTTAGGACTAGTATTAGGGTTAGTTAACGGATTAAGAATAGGGTAAATGTTAGATTTAAGATACCTCGATTACCTGCTTTAACGGTGGTCCTTGACTATATTATATCAATTATTTATTAATAGTTTATTAGTTATGTCAGATGTACCTGTGATGGCACTGGTAAATCAGTCAAATCAGAAACAAAGGCTGTCCAGCAGGAAGAGGATGCTTGAAGCATCAAACTGAATTCAATAGAAAAATACCCTGCAATCAGAGACAGACAGCATTAGTCTGGTTTAACTGGTACTCTATTTGTGCTTTACTCTTTATGTGTCTGTTTTTAAATATTTCTCCAAAGTTCAAAGCTTCTTACATTTTAAAGTAGATTCTCATGTATCCACTTGTACTAGTATGGAGAGGTTAATTCATTTTTGAGTGATTTTCATTCTTCTGAATTTGAGGCACTGCTGATTGGATAATCCCTCTTCAGCGCCTCATTTTATTGTGTTGCATTTTATGAAAAAACCTTTTAATGATCTTCTTGTCAAATCTTTGTTGTGATTTGTTTATGATCTCAATGTTTTTTTATATCATTGAAATTTGACATAACTCTATTATATGATATATATAATTACAGGTAAATTGTGCATATTTAATCAAAACATTGTGATTGGTGATGACACATGCCGCCTGTCTCTGGCTCAGTTTTATCTTTGAAATCGTGGGATAAGAAGAATGAATAAATAGTCTTCCTCTTGATGTCTCTTGATTTCCATGTGCTTTTGGCCCAGCCCTACCTGAATGTTGTTATCAATAGAGACTACAGTAGTTTCTTTGTTTTACGTACTGTTGAACAGCATTTTTAGATCATTGAGATTTAATTTGATCAATATTGATCTATGAGTTATATATTGAGTAATAATTAGCAGACAAAAAACTAAACAACCCAATGTCAAAACACCTTTAAAATGTCTGGTTTGATTGGGATTCTGGTTCGCTGTTCTCTCTTTGTGCTTCCCATCATTATCTGGGTGTTTGCGTGTATTTAGGTCAACCCAAATGACACAAGGAAGATGAAGCCCGAGGAGCAAATGAGAGAAGCAAAAAAGCATCATGGACTTAAAGCTAATTTTCAAGACAAAATGAGAGAATGTTGGAGGAAACTCGGGCTCTTTTGTACAGAAGAGACATGAATGGACTGAGAGAAAAGTAAGGAGAGAGAGGGACATGGTGCAAATTGGAAATACAAAAGGACAGGGCAAAGGCTACGGCCATTCGCGTACATAACAGAAGCCTATTTTCGTTCTGCATGGTTTTAGCAGCGCACAAGCCTCTCAAAGCACCTGTTGACAAGGGCTAATTTAGCATTGCCACAGTGCAAACATATGATTGTATGGGCGAAGAGTTGAAAGCAGAGATTTTTCTAGTGTCCTAATATTCAAAGTATGCTCTACCCAGCTCTGATCTTATAAGATAAGATATACCTTTATTCATCTCACAGTGGAGAAATTTCAGTGTCATCGTTGCGCACATTACAGCAGAGAAAGAAGGAAATAAGATCACTCAGATTGCACACATCAAATTGAGTCCATAAAAAATATACTTGAAATAAGTATAAACCCTGGGGCTATAATTGCACTTGGTTCAGAAGTATTTACAGATGTGTATATTGTACTTTAGCAGCGGAGAATATGAGAATATGAATGAATAATGAATAATATCAACAGGTAACGTGACTGGTGAATGGCAGAAGTATCAGATGGATATGTAAAAATACAGTAATACTAATAACAGGTAGTAACAAGTGACTAGTGACAAAGTTACTAGTGAATTATCAGTGACACTTGTACAGGCTCGGCAGTTCTTTCGTTATGCCTTTTATTCCTCTTTTAGCTTGCATTGTCAAAAGAATTCTTATTCTTATATTTATGTACGCTACATTGACTCCATTGACACATGAACTATCATCATACACAATTTGTCTGCTATAAATGCAAAAATGAAATGATTTAAACTACTGCAGCTTTACACTTAGTTGTAATGTGGAGAGACCCAGCTTTAAAAGATATTTTTGGCATTTCAAATTTTACTGACAGACGGACAGACACCGGAAAGACAGGCAATAAGTTTGAAAAGATTGACAGGGTATATGAATTCTAACAATTTGACCGTGAAAGTAACGATTCATAACTTTTGGCTTGTATTTAATCTAACAAAAATATTAGTATTTTTGGTTCATGCTTGTTTGTCTTGGGCCATTTACTGTACATCTCATGTTTTGATGTCGTGGCTCTGGCAAAAGGACACATAAGACAAAATTAAATTAAAATGTAGTTTATGTACTTGTCCTGTGCACACTGCAGACTTTTGCAATTGTTTTCCAGTGTGATTTTACGGCAGATATGATGAATCTGAGTCTAATATGGTTTTGGTTAAGTAGTACCTTTGGTGAAGGCTGTTCACAAAAGGTGGTTGTTTTTGGCTTTGTTCTGTGCTGATCAATATCCATTATCTGCTGTCTTCCACTTGCTTGATTTCTGTTGCAGGTCTGAGGGGATTTTCCTAAAAAATCGCTTGGGTCAGATCCTCTTACTCTGATTGCTGTCTCTGAATAGAACTGTCAATAAGAAACATGGGGAATGATCTACCTGTGAACAAACATGCAAGACATTTTTGTTTGAGACTTATGTTGAATGTTGGAATGGTATACTTCTGTTGAGCCAGCCTTCACAATCTATTCATGCTGTTGTTTGAAAGTGAAAGTCAAAACTGTTTATGTATGCACTTGAGCTTCATAGTCTTTCGTTTTCTGGCTCAGAACTTATACATACATTGCCTATTTTTGCTATGCTGTCTTTCTATGTTTCTCTTTACTTGTGTATACAATAAGTGAGCTTTGGTCTGGTTGGTGCATGTAGACCTGGTGGAAGTTAATGAATAACCAATGTTTACTTCTACTTTGACTAGTATTTATTCATGCATTATTTTCTTGTGCTTTACAATACATTAGAAGCACTGTATACTTAACATTTGACACTATGTTTATTCTGGTACAATTTCCACTTCTGATCATACATAATGGTATAATGGTTTTGTACCGTGTGATGCATTGTGCAGAGAGCAGCAGATGGCCAACATTCAACACATGGCTCCATTCTGAACTAATGACCTGGACAGAAATAGAGTGTGGAACCAATGGACTGTGCTATGTACCAATGCTAAGTTTGTTTTTCTGTTTGATCTGTTGCTTAACTTTTGGTCCAAATGAGTTGTGTCAGAACTTAAGATTGCGGGAATTGTTTCAGTTGTACAAGGCCACTGTCATTGTTAAAAATAATTAGATTACCTCCATTGGGACACTGACCAAAAGAAAGTCAGTGATGATGACGTGAAATGTTGGCACCATATTGTTTTTTGTGCATACTAGTCCTAGGTTTTTTCTTGTCATGACTTCTACCATGTCAATTCTCCATCGAGACAGATTGAGGTTTGAAACTAACTGACTTGTTTGGATAGAATTCAGTGGTTTTGTTCTTCGCCATAGCAAATTATTCCTTCATTTTTTGGATGGCCCCTCAGGGACACATGCAGACATACAGAGCTGAAATTCTCATCCCTTATATTAGATTTATTAGAGTGTAATGGCAAAAAAAAAAATGACATGCCCAATATGAACTCTACAACAACACCTTTACTAGGCCTCTGATCTAAACTTGAGCTAGATCGAAACCGAACCGAAAATGAGCTTGTTATAATGTATGAACAAAGATGAGCAAAATAAGACATTATGCAGATAATGTATGTTCCACAGCCAGCCACTAGGGGATGGAGAGGACAGGGAACTGCTTTTAGGGGGAGAAAGCCACCTGTGGGAGGCCTGGCGTACTGGCGCCTGGGCGGCGATCGCAAAGAAGGGCAAGGGCCTTTATTGCTGCTTGCAGCTTTAATTATTATAAGAAAGTAATGTTAATGATAATTACTAGAAAAATTACATGTCCATACAATGCCCAATTTGG